GAGGGACGGTCGGTCCTACAGGAGGCTCAGAGGCGGTCGAGTCAGGCAGCTGGAGAGGAACTTGGGTTCGAGCCCAAGGTCGGAGGTTGGGCACGAGCTTTAGTTTGTTATGTGTGCCAAAGAGATAAAAGAGGAGAGGGCTTCGACGGGTCTTCCTATGTGAGATTGAGGGAGAGCAGAGGTGGGGAGATCAGCTGAGTCCTGCTCACGCGAGAGAGGCGAAAGATACAGAAGCTTCAGCCTAGAATAAGGAGGTCGGTGCCGACTTGAGCAGAACCTGCGGTCGGCAAGCACTATAGGCGACAAAAGGGAAGTTCGACACTAGGAGGGGCTGCAGGAGATGGAGCAAGGGGCGAAAACCCTAAGGCATACAGCAGGCTCGTATTGATGTATATACGAGCGAATATGATGTTTTAAATTTGATTTAATAAATATAAAAATTTTATAATTTAAAATAATTTTATCATAAAAAATAAGGACATGCATGCCCACTTAAATTAAAATATTATTTTAATCAGACATGTGTCTGACGTGCCCGACACATGTCCCAACCGCATCGGGCGCGTATCTGTGTCCTACATTCCCTCTTCAAGAGGAGTGTCGGTGCATCATAGATAAATACATGAGTGTAGGCGATTAATATGTAGATGAGATGATTTTGAATGCTATATAAGTAAATCCCCCAATAAGTTAATGGGTGTTCATCGACTTAAAAATCTTATAATTCCCCTGACAAATTCATCACATGAAAAACAAACTTTATTAAAATATATGTGCAATCATTTTAGGTAACACATACTATTTAACCATTTCATTAAAATTTTGTATTGTGATCTATAGGATACACCCACAATTTAAAACATTAACTAAAATAAGCCTTCTTTTATAAATGTTTTGTTAAATCTCAGCCCCTAACTCTTGTATGAATCTAACAGTGTAGGATAGAGATCTCTGGGAAGCATAGAGTACCTTCCATAACTAGACATCTGATTTAGGAAAGAATATATTACAACAATTATTCTTTATTTTATAGTTATTTATTTCCTTAGTAAGACCTCTTGTATAGATCTATAAATAGAGATGATGTTGTATAATAAAGTTATGGTTTTTTTCTCAAATCTCTTGATTTCAACATGGTATCAAAGCCAATAAGAGAAGAGGAAACCATCGGAGCCTAGCGGGGCGAAGCTAGAGCCGGAAGCCTCGATCCTCTATGCAAAGGAGCCTTGTGGAAGACCGAGCTGGGGCGGAACTAGATTCTCGCGGGGAAGGCGAAGCCTCACGGACGGACGAAGCATCACGGAAGAAGCTCAATCTTCCTCTCGAAACCGACGGAGCATTGCGGAAGAACAAGAGGGACGAAGTCGACGGAGCCTTGCGAAAGCCGACGGAGCCTTGCAGAAGACCTAGCGGGATGGAACCTCCTTTCTATCCCGACTCACGCAAAAGGGCCGAAGCCACCCATTTAAGCGGCCCGGTCCAACCTGTCGGATTCGAACCAATGATCTAATCAGGCTTGAGACCTGATTAAAACCCAATTTATTTAAAAATCAGCCTTTATTGTTGATATAATCAAATCAGCTTTATAATACCACAATGTCTGAAGAAAATTCATCCCAGAGCTTTGATCAAATTGAAGATTCTATGATACGCCAAGAACGAAGTGATCTCCAAAGCATGCATGAAGTGGTCTCAATTTGTAAAGACCTACTTAAAGGGGAAAGAAAAAATACACCGCCTCCTTAGAGGACCAAAAGGAAGAGATCTTAATTTTGGGGCATGGGATGAAACAGACTCTATGATTAGGTCATGATTAGGGAATTTCATGACTCCATAAATTAGCAATACATTTATGTTTTTTTCCACTGCAAAGGACATATGGGATGCCGCCAGACATACTTTTTTCAAAAGCTCGCGATGTTGCTCAAATCTTTGAGATGAAAATCAAAGTAGGTAGCACAAAACAAGGAAGCAAGACTGTGACAGAGTATGTCACCCTTCTACAAAACATATGGCAAGAACTTGATCACTACAAATGCATAGAGACCAAATGTCCAGAAGATGCTGATATCCTAAATAACTTTATTGAAAAAGATATAATTTATGATTTTCGTGCAGGACTAAATATAGAATTTGATCAAGAGTCCAGATCCTCGGCAAAGAGGAAACGCCATCACTAAATGAATCATTGCTCTCATCTGTGCTGAAGAAAGCCAACGAAGAGTAATGTTGGAGCCAAAAGTTGTTGAGAGCTCAGCGATGATGATCAAAGAAGCTCTATCGAAGGAGAAAAGTAAAGTCTGCAAAATTCAAAGACAAAGACTCCCTTTAGTGTAGTTATTGCAAGAAGTCAAGACATACGAAGGAGACATGCTAGAAGATACACGAAAATCCCGCAAGGAGTGGAACCAAAGAAATGAGAAAAGAGACACCTCATATGCCAACACCATAATAAGTGAACTTAACCCAAAAACACCAACCAACTTCAATAAAGAAGACATTGAAAGACTCAGACAACTCCTGGCATCACTAGAAAAACCACATGCATCTTCCTCTCTTGCACTTTCAGGTAAGTTTCTCATACTTACTAGCTTAAGTACCTCTAGAAATCATTTGAAAAGAATATGGATCATTGACTCAAGAGCCACATATCACATGACAAACTCCACTACCCACTTCATCAATTATGATCCTTGCCCAATATACAAGAAAATCATCATTGTTGATGGTTCTTTTGCCAAAGTAAAAGGCCAAGGAGACACCCATATCCCCTTCCCTCACTCTAAAAAATGTGCTCCATGTTCCTTAATTATCCACAAATCTTATATCCATACAAAAACTTACCCGTGACCATAATTGCCAAGCATTATTTAACCCTACCTTTTGCTTATTTCATGACCAGGGATTGGAGAAGACGATTGGACTTGCTAAGGAAAGAGCTGGACTGTACTATCTGGAATAGCTGAACAAATCTAAAAATAGCTACTCTATGTTATCCCTAGTTGACAAAAAAACTACTATCTAGCTTAATCACTTCATATTAGGACATCCATCATTAGAAATCTTAAAACATATGTATACAAAATTTTTTTATAAATTGGAAAATTAAAATTTTCATTTTGAAATTTGTAAATTAGCCAAACATAAAAGAACCTCTTTTCCAAACAAGAATGAGAGATGCAATACTCATTTCTATCTTATTCATAGTGACACATGGGGACCCTAAAAAATTCCCAACATCTTTGGGACTCGTTGGTTTGTATCTTTCATTGATGACTGCACTCGAGTTTCTTGGATCTATCTCCTCAAAAATAAATATGACATTAACACCATTTCTCATTTTTTTACACCAAGATCCATAATCAATTCAGGGTAAAAATAAAGAGATTTCGTTCTGACAATACTACATACTACTTCAACAAAACCATATACTCTTACTTTCAGAGTAAAAGTATCATCCACGAGTCTTCCTACGTTCAAATCCCACAACAAAATAGAATCGCGGAAAGGAAAAATGGTCACCTCCTAGCCTCCACTCTTGCCTTCCTACACCACAATATACCCAAATCCTACTGGGGGGAAGCTCTCCTAACTGCCATCTACCTCATAAACTGACTACCGTCAAAAACCTTGGGGCTGAAAGCTCCAATGGATATTTTGTCCTCTTTTTACCCCGAATTCCGAACTCATAATAACCTTACACCCAAAATCTTTGGGTGCACTGCCTATTTTCACACCCACAACCAAAATAGAGGAAAACTAATCCAAGGGCACTCAAATGTATCTTCATTGGATACTATGCCACCCAAAAAGGGTAAAAATGCTACCACCCTCCTACAAAGAAAATGCTTGGATCCATTGATGTCACTTTTGATGAACAAATCTCCTATTTTACCAAACCTCATCTTCAGAGGGAGACTGAAATAGAGAAAGATGATGAAAGTATGCTTTCCCCTCTTGACCTTCCACCACATCAAACCAATCCTCCTGAAATTCAAAATAGGGAAGCTGAAGACAAAACTATCCATAGATTTGGGAAGGTATATTCCAAGCGTACAAGTTCAACCTGTGCTTCGAAGCATATCCAAGAATTTAAATCATCTCCTGAAAATATGATAAATTCTCCACCTCCCTTATACCCTATAACCAACTCTATATCCTTCAATAATTTTTCCTCCCCACACAAAAACTTCCTAGTTACACTAGATATTCATATTCCTAAGGATATTTCTGAGGCACAATCTAATGAAAATTAAAAAAAATGCCATAAAAGATGAAATGCAGGCCCTAGAAAAGAATAAGACATGGGAGATCGTCAATCTACCAACAAGAAAAAAACCAGTCGATCGCAAATGGAGGTTCTCTGTAAAATACAAAGCTGATGGCAAACTGGAAAGATACAAAGCAAGACTAGTGGAGAAAGGGTACACTCAGATATATGACATTGACTACCAGGAAACCTTTGCACAGTAGCCAATATGAACATTGTCAGAATTCTACTCTCAATAGCAGTTAAGTACAATTGGCATTTGGAATAATTGGAGGTAAAAAATGCATTCCTACATGGGGATCTGGAAGAAGAAATATTTATGGAAATAACACCAGGATTCAAGAAAAATTCTGGAGGTAACAATGTGAGCAAATTGAAAAGGGCCTTATATGGGCTCAAACAATCACCAAGGGCCTGGTTTGGAATGTTCTCTAAATTCATGCTCATTATAAAAAAAGACAAGGGGATCATACACTATTTTTCAAACATTCAGACACAGGAGAAGTTACAATACTATTGGTGTATGTGGATGACATTATCCGGACTGGGAATAATGAAAAGGAGAAAGTAAGTCTAAGAAAAAATCTTACCAAGGAATTCCTGTTTTATTTCTTTTCTTTGCATTTTTACCTCCTAATATAAAGAAAAAGTTTGCTTCCTTTCTGATACCTTAATATTGTCTATAAAATTATAATTCACAATCAAAGTGTAAGAAAAAAATATAACTGACCTTCTCCCCCCTGAGAGCGATTTAAAGCTGCAGAAACTTCCTGTCTAACTGAACGTTGAAGCTCCAACTGCATATCCATGCATGCCTCCAGCATTCTCTGCATGTTACTCATCCCCTGCTGAAGTCTCACCAATTCAGCTCTTAGATCATTAATGGCATCCCATTCCTGCAATACAAAATAGCTCATCACTTGGCACAGATAATGAGACCAACATAAAAAAGAGTAGGGTTTGAAAAAATAAATAAATAATACTTGATATTTCGAATAAAAGCAGCAGAAGATTGCATTGGGATCATGTTGAAACAAAATTGAAGCATAAAGGTTTTACAAACCAAACATGCAGATCAGAAAAAAAAAATGCATAAGGCAAGATGACGGTAAAAAAAAAAAAAAGTTTTCAAGTTTGCAGTTTCAAATATTCATAAAAGTTTGTATGGGCAATATAAGATAATTGAATTCGGGGTTGATGCAGCATAGAAGTGTCAATAAAACGCACAATATCAGTTCGATGCATGTTCCGTCTGCTCCAGCTATTACGATAGAGTACAGAATGCCAAATTGGCTGTCTTGGCGGTGCAGGTGGAGGTGGTATGACAACGGGAGGCCTGACAGTATTATCTTCTCGATCATCTCTAGGATCTTCCCTCTGCTGTTCTATATCTTCCCTCTGCTGGTCCATATCTTCTGTGGATTCAAGAGTTGAAGTTCGCTGTAAATCCCAATCAAGTAGAGCACGACCTTGTCGCTCGACATATGACCGTATCAACCGGTCCAAACTGTCCCGAAACCCACTATGGAGAAGATTTGAGACACTTCTCCTACAAAATAAGCAAAATAACTTCAGTTCATTGTAGGTTCCATTAACACAATACATGTATTGATTAATTATAATTTCTTCATTATACATGAAAGGGCATATACCTGCTTAGAAGTTCCCGAAGTTCCAAACTGTGAACATTTTCATCATCAGATTGAACAAATCTATTAACACTACTAGTGGGAACATCAAACTGATTTCTTGTAGGATGAGAAGGTTCATCTAGCCAGTTCTCGACAGTCGCTTGTGAATCATTATCACGCCAATCATCTGAATCTGGTAGATGACCATCCGCAGCATCTTCCGGTGTTCTGTGAAACCAGTCCTGGTCTGTATTTTCATGCCAGTTACTATCAGATTCTTCTGCCTCATCATGCCACTCACTCAAGCCACCTTCAGTAGACTGCTGCCACTCCCTTCTACCATGCTCTAAGGATTCATCAGGCCAAAGTTCAGCTTGATTAGCAGATTCTTGCCACTCCATGTCATCAAGAGGTCTATTGCTTTCTAACTGAGCTGAATCTGACAGTTGATTTTCATTGGTCTCGGTTCTGGATTCAGATTGATCATGGTTGTAATTTGACTGCTGCACTGCATTTGTTGAATGTAAACGATCACTCCTGGAATCACTGACACTAGTACTAGAAAGATTGTCAACTTGACTATTACGCTGACCAACATCAATGCCCTGCGGCCTGAAGTGAAATCCGTCCCTAGAGTAACAGTTTGCAGGAACCAATTTGGTTATCAAAAATACTAACAAGAAGATTATAACATGGCGAGCATGAGCATACTTTATCCCATAAAAAGAAGATAAATGAGACTAAAACAAAGGCCTGGTATCAGTCAGTTGTTAAAAAAGGCCAGAAAAAATAGCATCACCGACAATATTATTGGAGACAATTTAAAGAAAGAAAACATGAAACGCACCATCCAAACTATTTAAAGCTTTTCAGAGCTAAATGCGTCAGCAAAATAAAAATAATCAACTCCAACAACATCACGAAAAACAACTAACAAAAATTGGTTGAAAAAACTTTATATATGGTGATGTTTTCAATGGCAAAGCGCAATGCGATGCGCATCAGCTACCAATGTGCAAAGCGCATAGAGAAGCGATGTTTTTATTTACCTAGATCACTCATACCATTCAAGTCATTTATTTAATTACCATAGAGATCTATGAAACCCAAAAAAATGAAATAAAATAATAATCTAAAAAATTTATTGATAACATCTCAAATATACAAACGATGTTATACAGGAATTGAATATAAAGCTCAAATATGAATATATACAAACAAAAAAATATATATATATATATATATATATATAAAATATATTATAATATATTATATAGTATATCTAGGGAGCGCTGTCATTGCCAGGTCCCAAGTCATGTATGAGAAAAATGGAGGGTAGTTTTAGGTAGTCGGTAGCTAGCGTAAAACTTGTCAAATAATCATGACATGAATCATATAATATATTGTGTTAATGTTAGAGCGTTCCCTGGAAGAGACAAGCTGTATGGCCTAAATACAATGAAAAGTGTGCAAGGACCGCTGCATCGGCGCCCAGATGCAGTGGCAAGGGTCCCACATCATGGACGGATGTGGGCAAAGAAGCTAGTCCATGAAACTAAAATTAGGTTAGGATCATGGAATGTAGGTTCCCTTATAGAAAAATTAATGGAATTAATTGATATCATGATTCATAGGAAGATAAATATTCTATATATTCATGAAACTAAATAGGTAAGAAAGAAGGCTAAGGAGATTGATAGTTTAGGGTTTAAACTTTGGTATTCTGATATGAGTCATGCTAGAAATGGTGTGTGTGTGATTATAGATAAGAGTTTGAAAATAATGTTGTAAAAATTGATAAAATTAGAGATATAATTATAGTTTTGAAGATTGTTATTGATGATAAGACTATTAATATTATAAGTGTTTTTGCTCCTCAAGTAGGTTTGGATTTGTACCTAAAATTAAAATTTTAGAATGACTTAAAAAAATTAATACAAAGATACCTTTTGAAGAAATAGTTTTTATTAGGGGATATTTAAATTGACATATTGGTAGAGAGGCGAAAAATTTTAAAAGCATTTATGATGACTATGATTTAGAGCAACTAATGAAGGTGGTAAGACTGTTAGATTTTGCTCTAGCTTATGATTTTGTTATTGTTAATATTTTATTTAAGAAAAGAATATGAACATCTCATCACTTATAAGAATAGATATAGTAAAACTCAGATTGATTATTTTCTTTTAAGAAAAATAGATTGTTTAGATTAACAGAGAATGTAAAGTTATTCCGAGTGAAAGTCAATGTAACCAACACCGCTTATTGATTTTGGACTTTAAGATGAAAGGGCAGAGTATGAAAAATATAGTATATCGTTGTTCTAGGATTAGATGGTGGCATTTAAAGAACTCTCATAAAAATATCTTTGAGAGTAAGATTCAAAATCTTAAGATTTTATCGGTGCATGAGGAAGCTAATTTTATGTGAGAAATGGTAGCTTGTAATATTAATAATGTTGTAAATGATATGTTTGGAGTATCAAAAGGAAAAGCTTCTAATAGTAAAAATATTGGTAGTGGAATCAAAATGTGCAAGAAAATATCAAAAATAAGAAGCTCAATTATAAAAATTAGTTTAGATGTAAAAATTCTTAAAATTGTGAAAGAAATAAAATTGTCCTTAAGGAGTCTAAGAAAGCATTCAGCGATGCAAATGTTTTACATTTTAATGATTTATATAATAAATTAGTTACTAAAGAAGACGAAAGATATATGTATAAGCTAGCCAAACAATGATATTGGAGTAGTAAGGATCTAGTTCAAGTGAAGTGCATGAAGGATGAAGATCAAAAAGTAATTTTTAAGAAGAAGATATTCAACAAAGGTGGATGAGATATTTTGCTAAGATTTTCAATGAAGATGGTGAAAATACGATTAACTTTAGTGACCTTAACACTCAAAATGAAAATAGAGATTTTTATTTTTATCCACATATTACTAAAATAGAAGTTAATGAGGCTTTAAAGAAAATGAAGAGTGGGAAAACTATTGGACCTGATGATATTCCAATAGAGGTGTGGAAATGCTTAGGAGATGCAAGAATTTCTTGGCATACTAAACTTTTTAATATTATTTTGAAGACAAAAGATGTCAGATGTGTGGAGAATGAGTGTGTTGATTAGTATAGAGCGAAAAAGGAAGATTTTCATATGATATTTACTGATTCAGAGAAGGCATATGATAAAGTTTCAAGAGAAGTGCTATGAAGAGTTCTAGAAAAGAAAGGGGTTAATAATGCTTATATTCAAATCATTAGGGATACGTCTGCTGGAAATGTTACTTGTGTTCAAACACAAGATGGTTTGACCAAGCATTTTCCAATTTCAGTTGGATTACATCAAGGATTAGCCTTAAGCTCATATCTTTTTGCTTTAGTCATAGATGTTCTTATCAGAGATTTGCAAGAGGATGTTCTTTGATGCATGCTTTTCGCTGACGATATTCTTCTTCTTGATGAGACTAAAGAGGGAGTTGAAGGTAAACTTGAATTATGGAGGTCAACCTTAGAGTTTAAAGGTTTTCGTTTAAGTAGATCTAAAACTGAATACACGGGATATAATTTTAATAGTAATATATATAAAATGGGGTTTGTGACTTTGAGTGATTAAGGCATTAATAAAAGTACACATTTTAAATATCTTGGGTCTATTGTTCAGAGTAATGGTGAAATAGATGGGGAGATTATTATTCAAGTTGCATGGATGAAGTGAAGGAATGCATCGAGCTTATTGTGTGATAGAAAAGTACCACTCAAACTTCAAGAAATATTCTATAAGATAGTGATTAGACCTGCAATACTTTATGGCACAGAATGTTGGTCATTAAAAAAAAGCATAATATTAAGTTAAGTGTTGCAGAGATGAGGATGCTTAGGTGGACGAGTGGCTTTACTTGGAGACAGGATATGAAATGAGCACATACGTGAAAAGGTTAGAGTAGCTCCAGTGGTAGATAAGATTAGAGAGTCGCCTTAGATGGTTCACATAAAATGGCGGCCTCCGATGACCCAATTATGAGAGTAAATGTATTAGATTTTACCTATATTAAGAAAGATAGATGTAGACCTAAAAAGACTTGGTTAGAAAATATTAGAAAAGATCTTTCTTTAACATAACTAAATGAGAATTTGACTCTTAACTAGACAGAATGGAGAAAAAGGATTCATGTAGTTGACCCCACGTAGTGGGATAAAGGCTTGATTTTGTTTTTTTTTTTTTTTTTGTATTATAATATATTATATATAAAAGGGAGAAATGCCAATTTGAGCAACGATCTACTATGATGGAGAAAAAGTAAAAGGCAAAGTCGAGCATTGGTCTTTGCAACATAAGCGGAGGCGAACGCAACGTAGGAGTCAAGCATCCATCTTCTCTGAAGGCGGAGGCTGAGTCGAAGTCGAGCATCGATGAGGAAGAGGAAGAGGATGTGTTGTTGTTGTGTCAAATCTTTTGCATATTTGTAACCTTTGATGGAGAGTGGAAGACAAAGATGACCGAAATGAAAAAAAAAAAAAACACACAAGCGAGTGTTTATCATACAAGCTTCTTGTATGATTTTTGTTGAAGTGTTGTTGCTACAAGAAATTTGATATAAGTTGACAATAAACATAAACTTAAAGAATGAAAAATGTAACTCATCGATTGTTGGGATCATTAAGAAATACAAATATAGTGATAATAGTGTGTTTCAATATTTTATGAATTTTAATGGTCATTTAGTCCAACATTATTTTTCATATATTAAATTAAAGACAGATGTTTCATTAAAAATAGCTAGAAAATAAGTATGAATTAAGCTACAGTTCACCAAAGATAATAAATGAGACATAATGAATATAGCTTGGGAGTTTTAAAAATAACATAATTATCCACTGGTCAGGACAATTGTAAATGTTCATTAATATTTCTAAGAAAATCATTAAAAGTTCATATAAATTAAATAAATCATTAAAAGCTCACATAAGCACGGACAAGCACAAATATCATGTATGGTCAAACTTAATCTTATTAAAGAAACTGTATGTAATAAATATTTTGTAAATGAGGATTACATGAAGCAAAAGAATCATGATTACAGCATGATTCCACATCTAATTTCAATAAATTTAAATATGCGCAGGAGTTTATATTAGGATATGAAACTAAAATTAAGCAAGAGCAGAATCTGAATTCTAAACTGAATTCAACTTTAAGATCATTTCTGAACAAAAATCTCAATTAAAATATGAATATATCCATGTTTTTAAAACATAACAAATTGCATGGATGCTAAAATTGATAAATCATTTTTGCAATCTGATAATGTATCACCTAATGAAGCCTCAACCAAAATTATGTCTATATCTACGAATCAAATTATTAAAATTATCATATGGAGAAGGTCAAATTGTGTCTACATATCAAAAGACTTACCAATGATAATTGCCTTCAAAAAACTTAACAAAAATTAAATTTTCAACCATATGAATAATCCAGAGATGCAAAATTTATCAAATTAATATTTACACCATTGGGTTATTTTTATTTAAGGAGACTGTCCATACATTTGATAAACACATCATACTAGCTAGTTTGTTAATTATGAGAAAAAAAAATTTATAAAACCTAATAAATATAATTTTTAATTTTCTCCATATTTCCTTCTTTTAATAATTAGTCATATTGTATTCATAAGAAATAATATAAGTGGTTTAGCATTATTTATCAATCATACGCATGAATTGCATGAAAATATTTCACAGGAAAAAATAAAATTCCAACCAGTAGAAAAGATAATAATTCATTTAATTCAAAGTCTCCCGTAAAAAGTCTTAAAAATTTACAACTAGAAAAATGACTCCATATAAAGCCCTGAAAGAATACAATCATGGTATTAGTCTAACTTATAAAATATCCATTGATGTCTTAGATTATTCTCTTTCTTCACCTCCTCTGAATTTCACATCAAATGCGTCATCAAAATATGCTCTAATTATCATACGGATCTTGTTCTTGAAGCTATTATTGTGTCATCATTGATGATGAATGCCAAAATACCTTTTAAAGCGAAAGGATGGATCTACATGAAATAATTCATGAATTTCTCAACAGCTACGACAATTATGCTCAAATCTGCTTGCTAATACCAACTAAACAATTCATCCATCCAAAGTTTTTCAACCAAGAGACTTGTGCATGTCATTTTCCGCTACCAGATCCAGATTTTCCTTTGTCATACCACTTCAAAATTATATTTCCCAAGTCATTCCTGTGATTGGCTTATGGCATTATGTCTGGCTTTTGTTATGATACTTTAAAATGTAGTCCTTCAACAACAGTTGTAATCATCCTCCACTTGCATGATGTTTAACATCCAATTGGTTCGTGATTATCGATTTTCTTGGGAACTAATGCAAACTTGCAATCATTTGGGTGATGTTGTGATCGAGCCTTAAGCAGCTGACTTCATGCTATCAAAATTTTCTGATAGCCAACTACATGAATTTTAGAGGTTGCTTTTTTTTTCTTTTTTTGTATATGGAGAAGAAGATTTTTATTATAAACAGGGGTGCCCCTTATGCTTGCAGAAAACTCAATCATTTATTCTGAACGAATTTCTAGTAAGATGTATGATTCATTTTTTACTACCAAAGATCAAATCTTTGACCGAGTTAGACCTAAAGATTTCTGGAAGAGGTTATCTACTTGTTACAAGTTTGAGACTTAACTGTTGAGATATCAGTGACTTCTTTTCTTCTACAGTTCTACTTTTACTTATCACTCGAAATTTTATTATTGGATTGATTGTGTTATTGAATTTATTAAAACTTGATGAAAATTGAGTTTCATCAAGTGCGTTGACTTCAAATAATTGTGTGATTTTGTTAGTTCTGAATTTCTAAGCAGTATTTTTAACAGGAGACTATTAACTTATCATATGAATCGAGTCTAATGATAGTTTCAGTTTTCATCAAAACTAATGAATGGTAGTTAAAATTAAGAGTTTGTGTAACCTGTGAAATTTTATGTTTGTTGCATGATATCTTACATCTCATAATAGATATGCATTAAAGATCCCAACCCTACGATGTAAGACCCGGCTGTGTTGGACCTAAGACATAAGACATCCTACTAATTGCTAGTTCTAAAACAAATTTCTGAAAGCCTTCCCTCCATCAACTAACAGAAGAATCTTCGCTCGCTTATCAAAATGTTATTCATGTGGTAATCTAGTATGCATCAGCAACAATGGTAAGTCCTTGAGACCATAACTTCAATGCTTCAACCATATGCAGCTTCATTTTGAGTGTAACAAAATACATTGTAACCCAAGGTTAGCCGTGCAAAGTGAGATATCCAAGGAGAAATTTCTGATAAATAGCTAAAAGAAATCTTCATCAAAGATCATGATACCAATCGAACCTACTTATGATCGTGCTGCTAGAAAATGATAGATGCCTAAAGGATATACTAGCCTTAAAGCAACTCCCAGTATTCATAGGAAGTATTGATTGAATATTATAATAGTATTTTATTGTTCATAACCGCAGATAAGGTACCTTAATAAACAATATTTGCATGGAATCACGCATTGCTCTAAAAATGCAGCTTCTTCACAATCCAAGGAAGTCCCATCAGAGAGGGAAGCAAGCTTGCCAAATGACTTGTTTTCTCAATGCTGCCCAGCTGGTTTTCAATCCTTCCTAAAGGTTGCATGGCCCTACTAAGGCAGCTTAGAGCCAAAAAGCTAGCCCTGCCCACTTCAATACACACTCAAGCGGGGGATTTAGCAGATTGATTGGCCCAATTGGTCAAGCATTTCATATAAAAACAATTACCAGGGATCTCAATCACTTCTAGCAGATCAGAAAAAACGTCAAAGGTCTAAAGCTTCAGTGGTCGGCAAATCAAAGAAACTAAAAAATTTTAATCAGGGCTTTTGTAGATGGTAAAAAAGAAAGATCAATTAGCAAACAATACTAGGGATTCGCAGTTTCAGCCTTTGAGATGGGTTTTGGCAGAACCGGCAGCATGCAAAATACTGTTCTAGTATTCCGTGTACTATTCTTTGTTTTGTTGTGACAGTTTAAATTCATCCTTTCCAATATCCCCATTCTCAATAGATAATCAATATTTTATCAGTTTTCACCTCTATTGGAGATTATTAAGTGACTAGAAAATGCTTAACATAACTTACAATATGAAAATTTTAAATTAAAAAAAAAAACAACAAAGAACCTACATAATGCTTAAATGTCACTTGTACCATCCTTTTTCTTTCCTATTAAATATTGAAATCAAATAGTCGGGATAAGGTTGACCATAATGAAAAAATGGAAATCAAGCCACTTAGTATTCAACACTCACCTAGAATTATAGGAAATGAAACTTGATAACAAAAAGTTTGATCAAGCTATTTACCAAATTATTTCTATTAAGGGAATAAAATAATAGCTAAATTGATTTATCACTTAAAAGGTTGAACAGATAAACATGATAATTAAATATAAAAGCCAAACATCTGATGCCAATCACACCTAGCCAAATTTAATACATATCAAACTAAAAGGCTCCTAGATTAATGCAAAAAATATCATGCTTCAGTCAAACTGTACCTTAAACCTGAGACTGGATGCCCTTGTCTTAGCTGACCTAACTCTCTTGCTGCAACAGAGATTGGTCTTCCATCCTCAGCGGTGGTACTTCCATTTCTTAAGAATCTTCCTCTGAGTAATGACTGAAGATCATTCTCATTAGATTGACATGCAAGAGCAGTTAAAAGCAAACCTAATACCTTTGTTCAAATATATTCGTGAGAATGAAGTTACTTTTCTTATAAAAATGCGGTTAAAGAATTGAGATAAATTAAAGGATGTGAAATAAAAAAATGGAAACTACGGGGAATTACTAGTTTTATGATCTTCAAATTTCAGAATGAAAAAATAGAGTATCAGAATATTTATGCAAGGAAAGCACCCTGGAAAGAGTACAAGACCAATAATTAAAAATAGGAAGAGCATGACACCTTAATGAATTTTAAAGAATCAAGGAGAATAAGTAAAGTCGAGGTTTCACTTCAGCAAACCAAGTTGCACTACAATGCTAAATCAATATGATAAATCCATTAATAGCGCAATAAAATAACTAAAACTCATCCATGGAAGCAATTACTTCCATTTCAGCATTAAATTTAACCTCAGTGTAAGTTCAAAGAATAATATAACCTTTTGATTAGTTATTTTTTAGACCACAACTATGTTGTCGGGACATTGTAGTTGCCAAGTCCTAGCTCAGAAAAATCAGCCCAAAAATTTAAAAAGTTACGTGAAGAAAATAGCATTAATTAGTTGAATAAGTCAACTGGGAAATTAAATTTTGACCAGCATAAATATATTCAGAAAGAAAAGAAGAAAAAACCTCGGGGATTCCAGCAGATCTTAGTGTTATACGGCATCTAGAAAGAATGGAAAGTAAGAAACATGGAAACATTTTGTTGTCAAGTGAAATATACAGATTAGAAAATTAACTTAACCACTACAAAGAAAACCTCATTCATTAAATATCAAAAACATGGCATGTTATTACAATTTGAGCTTTTCCTTTATTCTTCCTCAAAAGTTAAGAGAATATCTGATGTGAAACCACAAAGGATCCAGGAATTGAATGCAAAGATTAATAACTAATTGTCATACAATGATAGCTTTAATCTTAATGTTTTCGCTCAAAGAAGTTCAAAGAGATTCTTAGATGAAAACGATGAGCTGGCAATTGTTCACTAACTAGATTTAAAAGAGTACTTCCAAAATAACAACAAATTTAAAAGTAAAGAAATGACTACGTCAACATAAATCCGTGGGTTAACAAAGCGATGTGTTCACCTTGAATTTCAGTATTCTCTCTCTCTCAAGCTGATAGGGTTCGGCGGAGGAGCGAAATCAACACACCTAGTGATGCCACCAAGAGAAAGTAGAAACCACGGGTAGTAGCCATTAGGTCGATAGCCAAAGTAGGAGAAGTAGGAGGATAAGCGGCAATTAACCAACGTCCGGGACGGATGTGTTCTTCAATTGAGAACGTTAATTGATACAGGATGCGATCCACATATTCTTCCACCGAGTTGTTGACGTCCAAATTCAAGTCGAAGAAAGTTGATCGGATGATGTCGGTCCGCCCATGGGAGTCTTCAACGAACCCGTGATCATTATCCGGGTCGGCCCTTCATACTTGCTTTGAGTGAAGTAGAGGAGCATGGAGGAGGAAGAAAGAGAGAGGGGTGGCGGTTTGGGGAAGAGAGGTTGGCCGTGGGTGAGAGGGAGGGGATGGGCCGGTTTTGGAGAGGGGGTGAGTGGGTTTAGTTTGATATTAGGTTGAGTGGAAAAATCTGAAATTAATTTCAGAATTTTCCTAACTTAGGTGGAGTAATGGGATTTCAAATTTTGAATTTGAAACTATGGGTTTGAGAGGGAAAGTTGGGATTAATTGGGCTTTAATGGGATCCTTGATTTAAGCTCCAATTATGGGAGTTAATGAGGGGGGTTATGTTAGAGAGAGGCAACGTGATCAAAAAAGGGAAGGGGGGGCCGGCGACATCTAGTGAGAGGCTGAGATTGTGGGGGAATACTTAATGCTTCCTAAATGAGTTAGCTAATTAAGGAATAAGAATATTAAATCACATCTAATTTAAATTTAAATTAGAATTAGATTTAAAAACTTTCCATAATTAGAAATAGCAAATAAAGTAAGTATTGAATGGGGGTTTTGAATTTTGAAATTCAAATTTCATGGAGGCTTGGGGAGATGTCGGCGGCTAGAGGGACCAAAGGGGGAGGGCGGCGACTATGTTGGGTGGCTGGCGGGTGGCTGGATTAAGTAGGTCGGCGGTGGGGAATGAGGGGTTTCGGGTATGGGGGAAATTAAGGGGGAGGGTGGCGGTAGGGAGGAGAAATAGGAGTATGAAATAGATAAATCAAAGACTAACCGAGAGCTCAGAATCCACCGGCGGCTGTAGGGTATTGCATATCCCTCTCCTAGGATTCTCTCCACTCAAGAGCTCACAACTTCAGACAAAGAAAAATAAAAAATTTTACTCAATAATCATCATCCCAATACAATGCAAGAGGCCTCCTATAAATAGACTCAAACGAAAGAAAAATCAAAAAGACTAAAGTGCCCTCGGGCTACAACATAGACTCAAATAGGGGTAAAATGGGAAAACTCAAATGCAACATAATATATAAAATAGAAAATACATCAAAAATACAGACTCTGAATCGTAGCCATCAATCTACGATTCCTCCGAAGATACACATGTCTGAATCTCTGGCAAATGTCCTCATCAATATCTCATCGCAAATCATACAAGATGCTTTAATAGTATATGTGCATATGTACATGTGAAAGGATCCCAAGTTTACTTTAATGTCAAATACCCACTAAACATCACAAACATAGTTTCTAATAATAGAATGCTAGAATTTAAGCAATAACTGATAAAGTATATTGTTGGAAAATGCTCACATAAGGAATTTCTACACGCAAAGATTGATTTTTTCCAATTAAAAACCTACACTAACAGTAATGAACTTTTGTGCTGTGATTATAAAAATATGATTCATGACCTTTTTTGCATTCCCTAGACTTTTCATCTCTTATATAATCTTCTTATTTTCTCTTGAAATTTGTACTAAAAAAAAGAAAAGAAAATTTCTATTTTAATATAAGCAAATGCATGTGGAGACTGACACAACTATAACTCAAGGAACATAAACTCGCAGAAAAAAAAGGGTGTACCGAAATTATTAGTGCCAAATAGAAATCCGAGGACCGTAAAAGAGGATCCACAACAAAAGAAGGATCGACTTATGCTATATGGACCTAGCAATTGGGTGCACGTGGCCTTATCAAACAAGTCAAATGCAGCAAAATAAAACTTATAAGATGGCAATGTACTTAAACAGAAATGAAACTGTGTATAAGAATGGGTATGCAAGTAGAACAATTGATAAACGTCAATGAATTTTTGCCTGATATCATGTAGGCAAATCCTCGTAGAGGCGATATGTGCAAAAAATGGAAAAGAGGGGAAACAGTATGGTCAAAATAGAAAAGATGAAGTTAGAGATGAGAAAATCAAAAACTCGGAAAAAAGGTTCACTCGAGATGTCCGAGCATAATTCAAATTCTAAATCAATAGAATGGTTATGCTCTAATTTTGCATTGGAATGGATGCATTGCAAAGAGGTTGTACCCTGATGTATGCTTTTTGCTGATGCTATTTTTCTTGTAGATAAAAGTATAAAACTAGAGAGGGAGTTGAGGGAAGATTTGAATTATGGAGGTCAACCTTAAGAGTCCAAAGATTTTTGTTTGAATATATCTAAAATTGAATATATAGAGTGTAATTTTAGTAATAATAAATCCAATAGGCACTTTAGTACCGAATTCAAAGCTTTTTTGCACTCTCACCCCGAATGGCAAACCTATGGTCCTACACAATATTCTAGTGAGCCACCCCAGTCCCACTATCATTTAATTTGGTGACGGCATTTTTGTGGCACCCACGATGAAGCAAAGTCTCGCCACCACTAGAACTGTCGTAAATGATGTGGTTAACAACAGTCACGATACAAAGTGGTTCTACATGGTGTTCCTAATCCGCTCATTCTCCATAAACTCTATAACATAATTGCAAACTTGTTTCCCAAAAAAAAAAAAAATTGCAAACTTGTACAACTCCACAACATCAAGACTCTCATCTTCGTCCCTGCCGTACGTGGCACACTTGAACTTGGCTCTGACAACGTCATCAGTGAGAAGCTGTAGTTGTTCCTCAACTGTTGATCTAAGGAATTTTTAACATGAAGCAAACAAGGGTAACAGGGGTGGTAGATTTGAGCTATTAAGAGTTGTAGGTGTCACATAAGTAAGGGAGATTTACATATATACCACTCTATACTATTCTATTTACATATTTAACACCTAAAACTTTAATATTACATACATATCACTCATAGTTTATTTTTATATCAAATATGAGTGGTAGAAATGAAATATATGAGCGGTAGGAAGGAAATATGAGTGACATATTTGATATTAAAATAGTATAGTGTGGGATGCATGTAATATTAAGGTTTTGGGTGTTATATATGTAAATAGGATGTTATAAAGTGGTATGTATGTAAATTTTCCTATAAGTAAATGTGAATTCTTAGGTATTAGAACTGTAAATTAAGATGCATAAAATGGTAATATATATAAATCCACAAAAAAAAATTAAGGAAACGAATGAAAGCGGAACTAAAAAAAGTTCAGCTCACTGACCTCAAGTACCACATCACGTGAAACTCAATCAAAATAATTGACAGTCCCATTTTCCCTTTCTGCTCCCTACTTTGATTCTTCAGTTCAGCACAAATATCTAATCAACAATGGAAGAGCTCATTTCTCCCTCTTCATCGTACTCTACAAACCCACACCTCAACCTCTCTTTTTATTCGTCTACCCGATTCCCATCAACTGACCTAAACCCAAGCCGCCCTTGTGGCTATTGGCACTTCAATACCAAATTCAAAACTTTTTGCACTCTCACCCCGAATGGAAAACCTACGGTCTACACAATATTCTAGTGAGCCACCCCAGTCCCACTATCACCTACTTTGGTGATGGCATTTTTGTGGCACCCACGATGAAGCAGAGTCTCGCCACCACTGGAACCGTCTTCAGTTATGTGGTTAACAACAGTCACGATACAGAGTGGTTCTACTTATGCATGGTGTTCCTAAACTGCTCATTCTCCATAAACTCTATAACATAATTGCAAACTTGTACAACTCCACGACATCGAGACTCTCATCTTCGTCCCCACCGTACGTGGCACACTTGTATCTGGCTCCGACAATGTCATCACTAAGAAGTTGTTGTTGTTCCACAACCATTGTCGTCCGACATCTAAGGAATTTTAACATGCAGCAAACAAGGGTAATAGGGGTGGTAGATTTGAGCTATTAGGAGTTTTAGGTGTTATATAAGTATATGTGAATTCTTAGTTATTAGAACTGTAAATTAAGATGCATAAAATGGTATGCATATGAATCCCCAAAAAAATTAAGAAAACGACTGAAAGGGGAACTAAAAAAAGATCAGCTCACTGACCTGAATCCTACTTCGGTGAGCAAATCCCGAAACAGCTCTCACCTCTGATAATCCTTGAATCTCCCTCTGCCTCTCCCTAGCCATCCTCATGATTAGATCAAGGCGAGCCTGCCTTCCACGTATCCTTAGAGAGGCCCTCCTCACATGCTCCACCTGCCCATCATGATGATCGATCGCTGAACCATCACGATTCGAATTTGGATCAGGCCCCTCCCTCCTGCTTGCTCGAGGGTCTCTTTGTTGGCTAGACATCTGGACCCATTCCCTCACCAACCTCACCCTTTCCCTTTCATTCTCACCAAGCCATTCCGATCTTGGGCTCTCATTTCTTGGTGACAAGTCCGGAGCCGACGATTCTCTTATCCTTTCCTCAGCCATCCAACCCCGAACTATCTGTCTCACCCTCTCCCTCTCACCATCTCCAGGATCCGGAGACTGCTCCCTGCTAGAGCTTCTATCAGCATCATCATCGACATTATCCTCTTCGTTACTTGGTCCCAGAGGTTCCCGATCCCACTGGCTATAGCCGTTATCGTCGCTTTCAGTAGCCGCTCTTCTCTCTGACCGAACCCTAACACCGGAAGCGCTGCTTCTCCTCTCCCTCGCACCGGACATGTCCTCCAGCTCCCGCCACCTCTGCAGTATCGCCGAAGCCCTAGCAGCAACCGGCCGCTCCACCGACGAAGGAGAGCGTCGGGACTCCCTGAGAAAAGAGGAATCCAACGTAGAGACCGTGTGTAGCCCCGCAAGCGCCATAAGCTCGGACTCGCGGTTCCGCCGCTCGATGTTGGTGATCATTTCCTCGGCGTGGCGTGCGACCCATCTGCTCAAGATCCGAGAGTGCCTCCGGGCAGCAGCAGACGATTCAGCGATGTCATCTCCCTCTAGAGCGGAACGCCGGCGCCGGCGAGCGACCAAGTCGGGGGCGTCATCTTCGGCCAGATCGTCATCTTCCACATCGGCGCCGCCGCGGTTCGAACTGCAGCTGCTAACGCATCCATCCAGGCTACCGCGGACCACGAAATCGAAGTCAGCTTCCTCCCTCTTGTGCCGGAAATCGGGCATTTCTTGCGTTTCTTCCCCGGATCAGTAGGATCTTTCGTACCCCTAAACCTACATGATCTCCGATTTCTTGCTCGCCGACGGGCTACGGCGAACACACAATCAGAAAATCGAGCAACGGAGATCCAATAGAATTGCGGAGTAGAAGAAGAACGATATTTTTCTTCCCTTTCCTCAGATTTGGTGCGCTTCTTTTTGTATTTTATGGAAGAAAGCGAAAAGAAAGGGACGCATAGCCGATCCGAAGCGTAGGGATGCAGAAAATAGAGAGTAATGAGCCGAGGGCGGATACGAAGAGTGGTGAGAGAAATATTGGTAATTTTACGCCGAATTTTGTGTGTTTAAAGTGGCCAACCACCAAAAGATCGCCGAGAAGTAGTTCTCGAAAATTCAACGGAAGGGTACGCATGGGAAGAATTGGGTGTGAGAATATAAGGATAAGGGACTTGACCCTTTGCTTATGTCCAGGTCATCTTCATTGGATGCTGCCACGTGGAATTGTCTCTTTGGGCATCCGACGTGCGTTACGGTTTTGGGAGAAATCCCACGGCGGTTCATCACGAGGTTGGTATCGGCCTAACGTGGACGGTTGTGATTAGAGAAGGCTCCACGTGGTGACCGACGAATTCAATTAGGGCGGCATCTCTCACCCCCCCCCCCTCACATACAAATGGTTCCGCTAGTGGCGGTGTTATAGGGTGATTCTGCAACATTGAGTTTTATATTCATTAGATGTTTTCATAATGAGTTGTCTGCTTGGGAGCACAAAGGCATTGGGTAAAGTAGCATTATGACGTTAGGTCAATTTTAGTTTTTTATATAAATGTCTTCAACCAACATCATATTTTATTTTTCACCGAGAAAGTTGTTGGGAGAGTACAAAAGAGGAAGGAGAAGAAAACGTTAGGGTTTAGATGCCAGAGGAACGAATTTGTCTGCTAGGTTAGTTGAGAAAGTTGTTGTCCATGGGGTAGGCTTCTGTTACACTAGTTTAGTCTTCAATTTGAAAATTTTGGGTAAAATTTATAGAGTTTTATTTATTTTAAATAAGTTTGAGATAATTTTAACAATGTAACTTTGATATATCATAGAATGAATAATTTTAAATATTTTGATGGAATAAAACTCATAATTTTGCATAGTGATTTTAAATGTTTGGGTTTTTTTGTGTTTTACTACTTACATTGATTTTAATAAAAAATGTTATAGAATTTTAAACGGCTTTTAAAAGCCCTAAAATGATGTTATAAATGTTTCATATGAAGAAATTTTTTGAATTGCTATGACTGAGTATCTATATAAGTTCTACACCAATTACACCACTGAAACTAGGGATATTAAAAAGCAAGTTGCATACCTTATTTATAGTGCAAGCAAGTTATTCACTCCTCCACTCATACAATAAATGGTCTTGTAGTTTTGATTAGCCCTCACTTGGTCGGAATAGCACCAACTCTAAGGCATATATGAACTCGTATCGACTATGTCGATCATTGAAAACTCGTCTCACACTTATGTCTTTGGTGTCAATCATTCCTTATAAAAAGTTCTTTGAGTGGTTGAGAATTTCTTAACCACACAATTATATTTTGTCATGGTGACATGGTTATTGGAGAGGTCAAGAAAATTGACCAATGTCTCGGCTACTAGAGTCTAAGAGCATAATAGTATGGGCTTCTAGTAGACCTTTTGTGTCATGATCCTCATTTATATTAGATTAATGATTTGTTTGTAATAACCCACAAATTTCCTAAAATGAATTTATCTAAAATTTTTGAAATTATGGGTTTAGTTTGGGAATATGGGATGGATTATGATCCAACTTGTTGAAAGTAGGTGTGGGAGATTAAGCAACATTGTAAGGCTTCATTTGATTGGAAGTTTTTTGTGCTTATTCCGTTTTAAAACGACAAATTCATTTATTATTTACTGTTTTGTTTGTCAAATCAAGTTCCCAATAACTCCTTTTGTTTCATTTTTCTGCTATTTTGAGGAAGCTTTTTATATATGCTTCTCCGTTAGAAAACTCCATTTTATGAATCAATACTTCTTAAAATTGTCTTTTACAAAAGTACCAAAAACCAAATGAAGCCTAAATATTCTTTTGATCCCATCTATCTGATATAGATGTGGGAGGGATTCTGACACCACTTGTTAGATGCAATTATGGGAGGTACAAAGAGGCAAAAAGAGGTGGAGATATAAGCAAATATCGGGATATTTGCATGATAAGAAATACATTTTATATATTAATATTTTACTAAATTAAGTTTGAAGAATTTTCTGAAATATGTTAAGTAAACTCACTTTATATATGAATTCCATTTGAAAAGTGAAAGTGAAAATGAAATGTAAGTAAATCTATGAAATTAAGTATTTTGTACGGCATCTGAAAACTTTCTTGAAAGTGGCTAGGTGGTTATGAAGGTATAAGTGCAACTCTAAGATCATGTTTATACTAGAACTTTGGAATATTCAAGCTCTGCTTATACGTACTTTTGACTAATTTGAAAGTCATTATATTTTTCTTTAATTAATTACTTTTAATAATTACATTGAATATTGTTAGCTATGAGGGATAAGGGAAAGAGTCTATTGAGCTAATTAAGCTTACTTCATACTTCAAATAATTCTAAAAAAGTTAAAGGTCCTATCGAGTAGGTTAGGTGTAGAGGCAAGGTTTTGGACCCATATTCCTAAGATATGATTTTGTAATCAAACATTTAATTATTTGATTATAGATTTCTATGATCAGATTATTGTAATTAAGTTTTAATGAAATAAAAGTTAATTTTACTACTTTGATGTTTTTAAATTTTAGTAGCTTTGGTTGTAATTATTGGGTAATAAGTTACCATCAAATCCTAGGATGTTACATATACAGGACATAATGATTGATATAAGCATTTACTAGAACCATCAGCATGAGCTAGTAGATAATTGATATTTGTTTTACAGTACAGCACTTAGTATTAATTTATAAACTTTTTATTAGTGTTCTTATAGATTGATAGACTTCTACTAGTGATTGATATTGAATGCATAGATTATTTATTGCTCATACTTATAGTTTATTGATTGATATTGACTAAAATTATAGTATATACATTGATTCTTTTATCTTTCATTGAGTTTAATTAATGATAGAGTTTTAGTATCTTGCTTGGCTTTATAAGCTTATTGCATATTTTTATTGATTTTATATCTCATAAGGGGTTAGGACCCTCCGAAGTAAGGTTGATCAATATTTTTAAGATTTATTTTAATTTTGTATTTTGTTTATTTTTTTATAAGTAGGAGCTTTAAAAGGATAAATTAATGTTCGATGTGATTTTCTGGCTATTGTAAATTGAATTTTGAAAGAATAAATATAAAAAGGTTTTAATGTATATAATTTATAGTTGCTCACTAGACCTATTTTTATTGATGGATATTTAGTGGCTCTGGCAAATTAACTAAAAGATAAAGGAGATAATTCTTCTGAAATTAAATCTTAGGCATGACATTCTGAAAGACCCGATAGAACTGAATTGAAATTGCTGCATGTTTGAAATTTTTGCATGAGAGCGCTACGACGTTTGGCTGGCAAGCACAGTGACACTTTTTCTCTATTTGGAGGTTTTGGTATTGGTTTGCATCAAATATTATGTTATTACCTTTAACATTTTATAAAACATCATGTTATTACCTTTAATGTGTTGACCTCTCTTTTGCTCAAACTCTGGGTCAAAGGAGTTGACTTGGTCAAAATTGACCAAGCCATATCCCAGACCCCTCCCATTCAATAGAGTGGATCAAAATAAACTTGTTGAGCCCTAACCCGGGCCCTGGGTCAACCTGGTTGACCCAAATGGACCCATACCCTTTCACTTGATTTCAAATCCATTCCAAGGCTTCTTACACTCAATTTTTACTTCTCGTGGACTCAGTAGGTTAGACCCAACCTACTAGGCCCAGACCCATGCCTTAGGTTAACCCAATTTGACCCAATAGAGCCGTATTAAGTTTGAATCCAATTCAAATCGATTCAATCCTTTCTTGGACCCAAACTCTCCATCCCTTGGGTCTAGTTGCCAGGGTTGACCAAGTCAACACTTGGCTTGGTCAACCTTAGCCCCTTTGGTCAAATTTGACTTATTTGGGTCAAATTAATGACATTCAAGGGGTTTAATCATTTCCTAATCCTCCATAGGGGTAATCCACAGCCAAGAAACTTTAATCACTACCTAATCATACCTAGGGTTGATCATGGACATCAATGGAGTGTCTTGGCCTATAAATAGTCTCCTTAGGATTTCTTTTGAATGACTCTTGCAATTACTTCCTCCCTAGGCTCTCCCAAGATGAATAATCTTGTGTGAGAGCTCTCCCCAACCCCTCCACAATTCCCAAGTCAAACCGACCCTCAAGACCTCGTTAGTAGTGAGCTTTTCGGCGAACCGAGGCCAAGGAGTTTCCTAGGTGAATCCCATTCAATCCAAGGCAAATCAGAGCTCGAGTTCAACTAGGAAATTGTACGAGGACAGTCTACAAGCAACAATGTGAGGGTTATAACACCAACATCATTGTTGCCTACCATTATCGACAACTACCTAATCCTCACCGTATTTCAATAAAATTAAAATACATCATAACAAACATAAAAATATAAAAAATACATTTGATTTGCATTAACCCACCATCCAATAAATTCTAAAATGCATGCATTTCATATATATATATATATATATATATATATATATATATAGTTTAAGTCATAAGAAGAAGGCATTGACTTGATGTCTCAAATATATGTCATATAGAGCGCATTATATGGTGGGAGTTACAATAATCAGCATAAACATCTTTGTTTGGTTGGAAGGGTCAAAGTCGGCACGAGACACGGGTCCGAAAGATCATAGTTGGCAGGAGACTGTGGTCAGAAAGATTGTTGTCTGGTAGTGGAGGTTGGAAGGGCCATAGTCAGCATGAGACAGGAGTCTGAAAGACCATAGTTGGTAGGAGACCGAGGTCAGAAAGATCATTGTTTGGTGATGGAGGTCTGAAGTACTATAGTCATCATGAGACAGGGGTCCGAAAGACCGTAGTTGGTAGGAGATCGGGGTCAGAAAGATTGCTGTCTGGTGAAGGAAGTCGGAAGGACCATATTTTGGCATGAGACATGAGTCTGAAAGATCGTAGTTGGTAGGAGATTGGGGTCAGAAAGACCGTTGTTTGGTGAAGAAGGTCGGAAGGACCATAGTCGGCATGAGATAGGTGTCCGAAAGACCGTGGTTGGTAGGAGACCGGGGTCAGAAAGACCGTTGTCTGTTGATGGAGGTTGGAAGGACCATAGTCAGCATGAGATAGGTGTCCGAAAGACTGTAGTTGGAAGTTGATCGGTGTTCGAGAAACCGTTTTCTGGTGATGGAGGTCGAAAGGACCATAATCGGCATGAGACAGGGGTCCGAAAGATCGTAGTAGAAGAGCGGTACTCCGGGAGAACTCTGGGCGTCCAGTGGTGACTCGGTAGAAGCCCGAGTCTAATGTTGTGTTCTGGTAGAATTTCTGGCCTCATGTGGTGGTTTGGCAAAAGTCTAGGACTCGGGTGGTGGTTCGGCAGAACTTCGGGTGTCAAGTGGTGGCCTGGTGGAGCTCAGGGCCTCAAGTGGTGGTTCAGCGAAAGTCCGAGCCTCAAGTGGTGGCCTGGTGGAGCATTGGGCCTCAAGTGATGGTCTGACGGAAGTCCGGACCTCAAGTGGTGGCGTGGTGGAGAACATGGCCTCAAGTGGTGGTCCGACGGAAGTCCGGGCCTCAAGTGGTGGCATGGTGGAGCACAGGGCCTTTTTGACTTTTTCACTGCAAGCAAGCTACCTTGTCCCTACCTAAAACAAGCCACCACTGCCACTGCCGCTTGCCTCTTACCATTGCTACCCGCCAGACGTCCCCAAGCGTCGGCCACCACCGCCACCACCAGTCACCCCACCCGTCATTGTCTGTCGTCGACCACTATTATCTTTGTACTTTATACTGCATTCATTTTACTTAATACCAAACAAAAGAAAGTCACATACATTTATTTTACATGCATCAAAATAACTTCAAAATATTTCAAATGAAAGAAATATAATTTTTTTTGGCTAAAATCTCATTGACTCTCATTTCTTACCATCTCAAACAATTCATGCTTTGATCATTCTATTTAATTGAGAAAACATTTGAATAAAACTGTAATTATTCAATGAGCTAATTAAGAAAACTACTTTTTATAATTTAAGCATATTAATACGATAAGTACTTATCATCTAATTTATTATAACACTGTTGATTTGACGCGAAATTGACAAGAGACCAAATAATAGCGGCCAGCCCAATGACATCAAAAGGGTGACTTTGAAGAAACAAACAAAAAAATTATTTGCAGTCATCATAACATCTATAGATTCTATACTATAATTCCTCTCTTTAATTAAATGTTTTTAATTCGTTTCAATTTTCAATTATTAAAAAATCTATAAATTACAAAAAATATATATATATCATGTTATATTTAGGGAAAAAAATTGATGCAATGTAAGAAAAAAATTAAGTTTTTTATTTGATGAAAAATAAATTTAATATAAAATTTTAGTGATTTTTTTTCATCTCTAGTTCAATTTTTATGTATTATAATTTTAATTATTTCTTTTTCAGTATCATCGTCGCAAAGTAAAAATTAACTAGAGAATTAAAAAAATAGTAACATTTTTAAATAAAAAAATAAATTTTCATCCCGTATAATACTTATATATAGATAATTAAAAGAGATAATCTCTTATATTGATAGGGATTAGTTTAAAAAACCATCCTTCTTTATTGATTTATCAACATAAAATTTATTTAAGTTAATTTTAATTAACTCATTTTGCATATTAAGAATTAATTTGAGACAATTTTCTTACTCATTTCTAAAGTAACTTTCAAGTATAAAAATTTCTAGTTTAATAAAAATTCTTATCAAAAAGTTGCTTTAGAAAACATTAAGATTTTGTTTGAGACGACTTTCTTATTGCTTCTTAAAGCAGCTTTCTAGTACAAAAATTAAATTTTGTACTAAAAAGATGTTTTGAGAAGCAGTAAGAAAGTTATTTCTAACAAAGCCTAAAAAAGCTGTCCCAAATGAAACTTAAGATTTGTATTTTTGGAGTCAGTGAACCATTTAAGAAACTTAATATTGAAGAGGAACATATTGGAATTGGTTCTTACCTAATTAAAAAATATTTTACATATTTTTTACTTCTTTCTAATACTTAATCACAAAACATCAAATCAAATAGCTCCTTAAATTATAGTAGATCAAAATTATACTAAAAATTATCATTAATAAAAAATATTAGTTGACCAAAATTAAAAAAGCAAGCAACCAATCTCAAAATAAATGTTAAGTTTAAATTTTTATTTTGATTGATCAAAATTATTGCTTGATTAGAATTTTAGTGCAAATTTGATTAATTATTAACTTTGATTGACCAAAATTTATGTGTTTATAGGGTGGGCAATGATCTAAGAAATAGAAGATAATAATATATGAATTGTATCTTTCTCTTTTGGACCACAATATCGTATGCTTGTTGACCTTGACCGTTTAAGTTGAAAAGTCCTTAGAAAGCTATATTTTTAAATCATTTTCCTTATTATATTTTATTAAGGTGGATGAAATCATTAAGGCTTCGATTCATTTGGAACCGTTTTTTTATTATTTCTTAAAGCAATTTCATAGTACAAAAACTAAATTTTGGTACTAAAAATTGCTTTAAGAAGTAGTAAGAAATCAGTCCCAAATAAAACCTAATGCTTCATTTGAGACGTCTTTCTTTCTGGTTTCTTAAACAGTTTTTAGCATTAAAAATAAAAATTTTCTACTAGAAATTTGCTTTAAGAAACAATAAGAAAATAATCTCAAACGAAGCCTAAGGTTTTAATATCATGTTGCTTAAAAAATATATTTGATTATTGGTGTGGTCAATTCAATTTTGATTTTCTTTTGATTCATACACACACAATTAGTGTTAGAGTCATCAGTTCTTAAGTAATTGATATGTTTTATACTTCTAATGTCTTTTAGTAAATAAATGAATAATACCAAAAAATTGAGAGTAAGAGTACAAAATTATTTTCTTATTAATTTTTAAAATCATTTTTAATACAAAATTAGTAGTAATAAAGCTAACAATTTTCTTATTGCTTTCAATAATAACTTTTTATTACAAAATTTTATTATTTAAAAAAATTTAATTTATAATATATAATATAAATGAACTCAATTGGATCCCTCTGAGCACATAAAAATGAGTCAAATCAAACTGTAAAAAAATATTTATAAGAGAGTTCTTATGCTAAATTTTTATCTGCCATTTTTACGCTACAGTTTACAAATCAAACTGTGTATATATTTTATCGCAAATCAAATTTGAAACAAATCTCAAACACTCAGAACATTTTTTCATCCATAAACTTTGGAATATTCTTTCCAGATGAATAATATCGAATTCTGGTCATCAAAAAAGAAATTTTTGCTGAATCAGAGAAAGAAGCAGTGAATATAAGCAAATCATGAATAGTATTTCCAGGTGAATCCATACTGTTCAATCTTCAAACCACCATTAATTTAAGGCTTCCTTTAGGACAGCTTTCTTACTATTTATACTAAAAAACGAGTTTAAGAATCAGTAAGAAAGCCGTCCCAAATAAAGCCTTAGGCTTCATTTGGGATGTATAAAAAGCTGCTTTAGAAAACAGTAAAGAAGCCATTCCAAACGAAACTTTAATCTACTCTTTGGAAATTTTACAAAGCATATAGGTAGCAACAAAGCTACTATTACTACAAACAACACAGGCTTGCCAAATCAATAAACAAACTATGAGATGAGTTGCAAGCTAAAATCCCACAATTTCTTGGCTAACTCAGCATCCTTAGCTTTGGAACTTGGATTTCCTATATTGCTGTTATCAAAGTATTTTCCACTCACTCCCTTCACATCAGGATGCAGTGCCACATAGCATGTTGTTGCTGCTCCCTATTAACAAACTAAAGTCATATAACAATATAGCTAAACAAATAAATAAAATGCTAAAGAGATCAGACTGCTCATTTATGGTATCCTAACAAACATGAATGTTTGAAAATTTTGAATGGACTCTATATGCTCTAAATACTCTATTGATAGTGCAATGAAAAGATTAATAATTCTTTAGACCGCAAGACATAGACTTCGTTTGGGATGGCATTCTTACTTCTTCTTAAAGTAGCTTTCGAGTACAAAATTAAAATTTTTGTATTAAAAAACTGCTTTAAGAAGCAGTAAGAATGTCATGCCAAACGAAGCCTTAAACCGGAATAACCAGTGGTTGATTGATATTGTTGCACACTATATGCCCTCGTTCTAAGGAGCATTGCTCCATAGAAAAATCAGACTAACCTGTTGAGCATTTTTTAGGACTAGTTTCCCAAGAGTGCGAGCAAGAACTGCATCAAATTAGAAAAGGGAGTTAAAATTCACATATATTGCAAAACCAAAAATAAAACATTGAATAAGAGCAAAATCCTAACGTATGAGCTTAGATTTATACTCATGCAGAAGAATAAAGAAACAAAAGATATGTAGTTTCATGATGAACTAGAGTGTGAACTATTTGGAATAGCAAAGGAGAGTAATTTTTATATCTTCTTTGGTTAGACACTACAACAATAATATCAAGCCTTTATCCCACTATGTTGGATCAGTTACGTGAATCTTTTTTCCTCCACTGTGTCATGTTAAGAGACAATTTCTCATTTAAATCTAATAAAACAAGATCATTTTTAATATTTTATAACCAACTCTTTTTAGGTATACCTCTAACTTTTTTTAATATAAGTCAAATCTAATACATTTACTTTTTTTAACCGAGTCATTGGAAGGCCGCCATTTTATGTGACCAAACCATCTAAGGTGACTCTCTCTAATCTGATTTTCCACTGGAGTTACTCCAACCATTTCACGTATATACTCATTTCGTACCCCGTCTCTAAGAGTAAACCCACTAATCCACCTGAGCATGATCATCTTTGCAATACTCAACTTAATGTTATGCTTCTCTTTTAATGGCAAACATTCTGCACCATAAAAAATTGCAAGTCTCACCACCATCTTATAAAATTTTCACTTAAATTTGAAGGGGACTTTTCTATCAAACAACAAGCCCAATGCATTCCTCCACTTCAACTATTAAAATGTGTACTCTTATTAATAATTTGATCGTGCAAAGTCACAATTTCCCACTAGGTCTATTATTACTAAAATCACACTCCATATATTCAATTTTAGATCTACTCAAACGAAAGCCTTTAGACTCTACAGTTGACCTCCATAATTCAAATTTACTTTCAACTCCCTCTCTAATATTATCAACAAGAATAATATCATAAACAAAAAGCATACATCTGGGTACAACCTCTTGCAAATGTCTAGTGAGAACATCCATGACTAAAGCAAAACGATATGAGCTTAAGTTTGATCATTGATGTAATTCAACTAAAATAGGAAAATATTTGGTCAAACCACCTTGTGTGTAATAGCTCCTATATACGTATCCTTAATGACTTAAAACATAAGCATTATTAACCCTTTTTCTTTTATAGAACTCTCCATAACACTTCTCTTGGAACGTTATCATATGCTTTCTCTAAATCAATAAATATCATATGTTGATCCTCCTTATTTTCTTGATACTTCTCTATCAAACCTTTCAATAAATGTATAGCTTCCATAGTAGACCTACCTGGCATGAATCCAAATTGATTTTGAGAAACATTAGTATCACGCCGCAACCTATACTCATAACTCTCTCCAATAGTTTTAAAATATGACACATTAAGTTAATGCCTCTATAATTCACACAATGTTGTGCATCACCTTTATTATAAAAATAGGAATCAAAACACTCATTCTTCACTCATATGGCATCTTTTTAGTCTTAAAAATAATATTAAAAAAATTAGTAAGTCAATAAATTCCTTCATCACCTAAGCATTTTCACACCTATATCAGAATATCATCAAGTCGAATAGCTTTTCCACATTTCATTTTCATTAAAGCTTCTCTAACTTCAGTTTTACTAATATGTCGATAAAATTAAAAAAAAATTATTTTCATTTAGGATGCTAATGTTATTAAAGTCAATCGTATTCTCATAATCTTCATTAACAAGTTTAGCAAAATATCTCATTCCACCTTTGTTGAAGGAAAATACTTTTGATATTCATTCTTAATGCACATCACTTGATCTAAATCCTTACTACTTATGCCTCTTTATTTGTTTAACTTATACATATATATCTTTCGCTCTCCTTAATATCCAATCAATCATATAAATCATTAAAAGCTAAAATATTTGCATCACATATTACTTTTTTAGACTCCTTTCGGGTCTCTTTATATCTTTCTCAATTATCATAATTTTTATATATAAACAAATTTTTATAACAAATGTTCTTATTTTTTATATTTTCTTGCACATTTTGAGTCCAACACAAACTATTTTTACTATTATGTGTTTTTTCTTTGATACTCCTAGTACATCTTTTGCAACATTCTTACTATCACTAGTTATTTTTTTCTCACATAATATTAGCTTCCTCATGCATAACTAAATCTTAAAATATAGAATCTTATTCTAAAAAATATTTTTATTAAAAAATCTTTAAATACCCCCACTTAATCCAAGAACAACGTTTTACTTTAATTTTTTATTTTTTCTCATTAATCTTAAAGTTCAAAACTAATATGCGATGTTAGTTACAAAAACTTTCACTTGGATTAACTTTATAATCTTTGCAATATAAACGATCAATTTTTCTTATAAGAAAATAATCAATCTGAGTTTTACTATATTCATTCTTATAAGTGATGAGATGCTCATTTTCTTAAATAATGTATTAGCAATTACAAAATCATAAACTAAAGAAAAATCTAATATAATCTTATCATATTTATTAGTCGCTCCAAACCCATAGCCACCATGAATGCTTTTAAAATCATCTAACTCTCTACCAACATGTTCATTTAAACCTCCTCTAATAAAAACTCCTCCAACCTTCTTTGGCTGGACACTGATAAAGTATATATATTTTTGATAGGTGATGCACACAATAAATTGTTGTGTAACAAGATATATAAAGAAAAATAAAAGAGTGAATATAATAGAGACGTTCATTATTTGCACCACCCATCTCACTCCCTCTCTCCCCACTCAAAAGTGTAAAAGCTATTGTAATATTTTTTCGACAACTCTGGTGTAACAAAATAACAATAAACTTGAGAATAATATCAAAGATATGGTGACAAATAATCCACATGAATGTGCTAATGCATGGAGGTTGATATTGTAAATAAAAATTTACTTGCAATGAAAAACAAGTTCACGATGCAAGCGAGTATGATAATTTTAGCACTTTATGCATGAAATACACTGACAATTACAAATAGGATTGCCAACTTTTAACAAAAATAAGCATGGAAATATAATAGGGCATCAGTATTACTGCTCCTAGGACCAATTTATTCCCCTATAAGTGTTCATTAACTAATTGGATCTCACCTTTCAAAGTAAATTGAAGTATTTATTTGGCTGAAATTGGATGCAACTGAGTTTCCATTCTAGAAACTCACATTCAAATGGTCGAAAATGGATTCCAACCTCGAGCGAAGGCAAAGCCCCTTCCAATTTTGTATTTTGGTTTCAATAACAATAAAATAATACTAAAATAATTCAATGATGATTTGAAATATTAGTTTATCTTGAAATAATTATAAAATAATGAAAATTAATGTGCAGTAGATAAAAATAAAACTTATTTCAGACCAAACAAACACATGACAACAATCTCTTAAGAAGTTGCTAACTTGGCATGTACTAATGGGTCGAATAGCCAAATAGCTGTTCAATAGTTTCCCTTGAAAAATTAGTCTTCCTTAAGTAGTCTCTAATAATAACTTTATAGATAATAGTCACTAGGGATGACTTCATAGATAGTAGTTATCAAGGCCGACTAATTGGACGTACTTGTCTAATTGGAACGAGTTCTTAGATCATAGTTGCATGGTTGAGGCAAATTCTCCTGTAAACTGAGGAGTCTCTTTCAACCAGAGCCCTGCATTAGGTACTCATACCCATACCCACCCATGAACCCACCCATACCCAATGGGCATGGGTGGGTATGGGTACACTCATGGCATCGTGGGTGGGTATGGGTGGGTACTCAACATCAAAGGACAACCGGTTTATATTACTAATTATCATATACATGCAGTATATTATAATAATCCTTACTACACAATGTGCAACACTGAACCGCGTCACAACCATGATAAATTTTGACATGTGGCTTGAAAGTTTGCAGTCAGAGAAAATGGCAAAAAACCTCAAGGCCATTAATCTATGGCAGACTGCATTCAATAAGCGTGGAAAGTGGGTGGGTGTGGGTGGGTGTGGGTGGGTATGACATCAGGAAAGTCACCATAGGTGGGTGTGGGTGGGCAAAGCCCGCCAGCGTAGAGCATGGGTACTCAATGGGTACCCAACCAGGACCCCACGTAGGGCTTTGCTTTCAACCGAGACGAGTAGACCATGTTAGTTTGGCTTAAACACAGTTGAGCTAACTTGTATCAGGCCAATTTAACAACAATGCGATTTTTTTAGATATTTTGATATGCACATTTTATGTCTCATAAATTTGATTCATGTATCATTAACACAATCATAAGTATCTCCTTACAAAGCATAAGTAAAATTCTAATATAGTCTTCAAAAAAAAAAAAGGGAGATTTACACACATACCACTTCATACTATTCTATTTACATATTTAACACCTAAAACTTTAATATTACATATATGCCACCCATAGTTCATTTTTATATAAAATATGAGTGGTAGAAATGAAATATATGAGTGATAAGAAGAAAATATGAGTGGTATATTTGATATTAAAATAGTATAGGGTGGTATTTATGTAATATTAAAGTTTTAGGTGTTAGATATGTAAATAGAATATTATAAAGTGGTATGTATGTAAATTTCCCAAAAAAAAAATAAAGCACCTCAAAGACACATGCATAAGAATGAGATACTGCCACAGTTAGATGATAAAAGTAATCTACAGACAGGGAGGTGCCATTTGTTAGGATGTATTTCTTCTCATTGATGAAAAAATTGGTCAAACAACAAGATTGTCAGACTAACTTACAATCAATGATACTATGGTAGCGCAGAAGGTTTGTGATAATTGATCCTGGATGAAGAGAATTTGCAGTTATATCCACCCCATCTTCCTGTTTAAAGCAAACAGTGAAAAAGTGCAGTCATCCTAATGCAAGTTTCTGAACCGAAGCGTATAGCAGGTATAATCAAGTGGCAAGCAAATCCATTTCATGACCGTTAAAGTAAGCAGGAAAAATAGTAGGAGGCTATAGGTAATCTGCCTTACTTTAGTATGTAATCAAAAGCAACCCCCTTATAATTGATACAAGGAATTTGTTTAAGGGCTCATTGAGTCGCTTCAAAAAGAAAATATGTTTTAAAAAACTGATGATTTTGTTTTCACTCATGAAGTGAAATACAAAATCATCATTTTTAAGAGAATTTTAACAAAAATTGTGGCAACTAAGTCCAAACAAACGATATATTTAACAAACTTCATCATTTTTCAAAAAATGATTTCTAACTTCAGGCAAACAAACGATCCATCATTAAAAAACAACAAGCATTGTGTATTTTAAGGAGGTATCCAATCTTTCTAGCCATTAACTGCTGAATAAAAATTTCTAACAGTCCAAACCATTCCCAAACAAATATATGAAAAGGCAAAAGATAGACATGTAGCAGTTAAAACTATAAGGTTAAAATATATATTAGTTAACTATGAAAAACTAACCATGAAAAGTACATTGAATCCTATAACTTTGCCGATTTCTTGCCACTTGATTGCCTTCGTAACACTTAACGATGTTTATACTAATAAACCACAACCATTGATATGTTACATCATAAAGCATGAACATATTTCAAGGAAATTACCCCACTACTAACTAGTAGTTTCACTAATAGAGTTCTATTCATTTATTCACTAGCTCAGTGATCAGGAAATGGATGCATTCCTCCATAGTCATAGCTAGTTTTTATTAAGCAGATTCTAGCCAAAACTAAGGTTTCGTTTGATTCTTCTCTCTTTTTGTAAAAGGTAGTTTTTAGAAACAATGGTTAAGGAAATGAAGTTTTCCAACAGAGAAGCAAATATAAAAAAGCCTCTCAAAACAGTAGAAAAATAAAGTTCCCTAAAAAGCAATTCTATAGAAGCATCCCATCCAAACAACCACAAAAAAAAAAAATTTCTCCATTTCTAAAGGAAAAAAAAAGTCAAAACAAACACGGCCAAAGAAAATGATTTTCAGGTATTTTGGGTAATTTATTATTTCGGAACAAAAACTGAGCATGCAAAGGTACCTTAAAGCGTCTTGCAAGTTCATTTGCATGCAAAATGTTTGCAAGTTTTGACTGCCCATAGGCTGCAAGGGAGGAGTATCTGCAAGAAGATAGGATAAAATGAAGATTTAATAGCTCAAATAGTATCAAAGAAGCAGGAGATTGTTATTATTATTTTGTTTAATAAAATGAATATTAAAACACTTCCACCATGACAAGAAAATTTCTAAATCCCCCTTCTTAGCAGGAGAAGAGCCTAAAAATCATTTGAAAGTGGCCTGATAGAAATTTCAAACATGAAATAACGCAAGGTATATATATATCCTGATTTGGTTATCAAGCAAGATCACAGTTAAACAAAGTCCAAGCTGTTATATTTATTTCAAAACAAATATGTTATTTTATTAATGCCCAACAGCTAGAACGAATTAGGCTTCCCATTCCCGATCAAATAGGCAATATACCTACCATAATTTCTCTTCTTAAATCATCACTTCTCTAACTCACCATCAGTCACCAGCCCAAGAACAGCTTGGATAATAACATAGCAGTTCCATACCCATCTTCTTCTTCTCTTGCTTCAGCACACTCTCCATTTGATCTCCCTCAATATCTCTCAATCTCTCAGCATTTTAATCTCATTGACAAGAATCAAGCAGTATTTGAAGGCGGTTACCAACCAAGACGAAATTCTCTTTCCATTGCCATAAGCTTGTTCCGATTCTCTGCACTTGATTGTGTTCTATATACATTATTTATCAAAGGGACAATCTCAAGCTTTGAGTTCATGCAGTGAACCCACTGGTCCTTGACGTTTATGGAATGATCTGCAATTTGGTGGGCAGTTTTCTTAGAGCATCAAACCGACCGAACCTGCAACCAATCTCAGTTTGAATCAAGCCTTCGACAGCACTAAGGCAAGGATCAGATCTCCTTAAGCTTTTCGGGCTCATCCAAGTGATTATTTTTCATGTCAAAGAAGATTATTCTTGCAATCTTCATAGGTGTGTCCACAATACATGAGAAGAGTTGTTTCGCCGCTACCTTTGCATCAGCACACTCTTTGAGGAGCAGAAATAGTCATAAAGGACAGTGCTTGCACAAAGCTCGGAGATAAGATTTTTCAACTCAGTTTTCATATGTGTGTATACATCAACATATAAGTATATATAATTGGCTTGAAGTTATCATGTTAATTCACAAGGTTAATTTGTTGCATTTTAGCTTCTATTTTTGCTATTGTATTCAATACAAGCTAGAGAGTAATACAATACAAAATTGGTTAAGGCATACTCTGATTGCTCGTTTATCCGGTCAAAGCGAATCCCTTCTCTGTAAGCAAACATATGCCCCTGTGAAGAAACATTCACAATTCTTCCTTCTATTTTACTGTCACGAGCTGTATTCTTCATGTTCTCTAATAAAAGGTGTGTCAACAGAAAATGCCCTGCGCAAAAAAGATAAAACACCTAGCTTTGAATACAATAAGGAAAACCATACTAGAAGAATGTTTTAAAAAAACAGATGCAACATTTTGCAACAGAAACATTCTGGAAATTATTAAACATTCACTAGTTGGGGAATAAGCATGACAACATTCACAAGTTGGGGAATAAGCATGGCAACATTCACAAATAAAACCTTAATAAATTGTTTTTTCTTTGTTTTGCAAAGTTGTTTTTAGGGCCCCAAGGTACTTATAACTTCATTTGGTAATGTTTTTATAATTCAAGGTATCACTGGGTCACAATCCAATTTGCCACAAATGCTGCTTTGTTTAAGTAAAGCAGAAGCTCAACCAAGTAAGTATTGAGCAAATAACAGATTACCAATTAAAAAAATTCTTCATATGAGCAAAGAAATAACACTATTAACAAGAATGAGAAACTGTTAGCATACAGAGTGCATGAATAGTCTTTATGCATTGGCTAAAATAACTAGGTAAGCCAATACAAAAAAATGAGCCAAATTCATACCAATGTGATTAGTTGCAAACTGCAACTCAATACCATCTTGCGATAATGTAAAAGGAGTACCCATAACTCCTGCATTATTACTTCCAATAGCAAAAACAGATAAATTTCAGTTACAGAGGTGCTGGAGATAAGAGTTCATAAAGCTGCACTAAAATAAGATGGAAATCATCATGGAAGTAGATTGAATTCCCTTTTTTTTTTCCTTACATAAGCAGGTTCAGTGGAAGTTCACGAGAATTGTATTCAGAAGCAAACTTTCTGACTGATTCCATAGAAGCCAGATCCAACTCCATGACATCAACTTTAGCAGCAGGTGTCTCTTTCAAAATTGCTTCTTTGACAACATTGCCTGAAGACAAGCTTCTAACCGCCATGACAACATGAACACCGTGCAAAGCTAATACGCGAGCTGTTTCAGCTCCGATTCCGCTTGATGCCCCTGAAATAACAATGAATTAGACAATCCTTAGGCTCTGTTTAGCAATGTTGTCATGTATTATGATGTGTGTCAAGCATAAGAAAATGCATGTTTGGATATCATGTATAATGAGTTGCATACACAACTAAAATTAATGCTATCATGAATTTCATATATGTATACATATGTATGTGTGATACATCACCAAAAAACTGTCTTGATTAGGAACGAATCTCAAGGCATGTCGATGTTAGAAACTTTCAAAATTAAATTTAAGACTATCCGGACTCTGATTTCAACAAACTTATAGTCAAATCGAACATCTCAAGGAGACCAACCCAACGACACCGAGATTGGTACGATCTGAGCCCAAATGGGTCCAAATCAAGAGTCGAAAGCTTATTTGGAATATTCAAAGCATTAATTGGATGACTAAATGCTATCCAAACATGACATGCTTATAGTTGAATCGAGCTGCTCGACGAGGCGAATCCAACGAGCCCAAGACCGCTAAATTTCAAAATCATTAAGACATATAAATGCTTAAAAAATACTCTACGATCTAGGGGATCAATACGGGCCGTCGATGGAACACTCCACATTTACCCCCGATCTTCTCCCTATTTACGGGGCATGACATTCTCAAAATATATAAATAGACCCCCACTATTTACAAGAAGGGGATCTTTGGCTGGAGATTTGAGAGAGCTCTGAGGCTTCAAGAGCTCAAGCACCACCACCGGCAAACCTCCGTCGGCTGTCGTCGGAACACCTCCCGGTCATCGGACTTACACCCGACCATCGTCGGACCACTGCCCGACCCACCAATTGCCGCCGAACTTCCAACCAGCTGCCGGCCGCTGAACTTCCACCCAGCCACCGTAGTCGTTGGACTTCCGCCCGATCAATGTCGGACCACCACCCGGTCGCCAATTGCCGTTGGAACACCTCCCGTCCGCCAGACTTATGCCTGAACACCATCAAACTTTTGCCTGACCGACGTTGGACATCCGCTCAACACTCCAAACTATTGAATTATATCGCCTCTAAGTCAAGGGATGTATCAACCTTTGTAATTCACTCAAATTTAGTAGAATGTTTTCATCTAGGCAAGGCCCCGTGATTTTTCTCTCTTCAAGTTTTCCACATAAAAAATATATGGTTTTTATTGCACTCTCTCTCTCTCTCTTAAATTATATGTTTGTGTGCTAGATATCTATTGATGTAGTGGATCGACGGAAGAAATGAATCTGCTAGAAGGAATACCCAAATTTAGGGTACAAAAAAAACTCAAAGCTTCAAATCATATAACATTCATCATGCTTTCCTAATACAATACTAGCATATATAAACTAGCCATAGAACCTTCTAGACTTTCTATGTAACAACTAGATAAACTATTCCTAAAGAAAACTTTAGCTAAAATGTTCCACATCATACTCCCCTTGCATCAGAAGAGCTCGACTCCGTCAACGCACATCATCGCGAGGGAGGTAGAGGTGGACATTATAATCAATCCTCCTGTGTCAAAGATATTGTTTCTTCAATGCATGTCCGCAAGCTCATTCAAATGAGTATAAGTCCCCAATGTCCTAGCTAATGTGATTTCATTCATGGCAAGACCAGATATCATTGTAGTCCAAGAGAAAACATCTGGTTTTTCTAACTCATGAAATATGCAAAAAGCTCTATCAATTTCACCACACTTTTCATACATAAATCAATGCATTATTTGCCGATAGGACCAATACTATACCAGAAATATCACAATAAGCATGAATGCAACTTCCTTGGCCCAACGAACGCAATTGTGCACATGAGGATATAATATATGAAATTGTATTTTCATCGGGTTTCAATTTCTCAGCTTGCATCATCCTAAACCACTCAATTGATTTCGCAAATTGGTTTGATTGTGCATAACCCGAAATCATTGAGGTCCAGCAATCAGCATTCTTTTCAGGTATCTCATTGAACCGTTGGTGTGCTTGATTCAAATCTTTACATATGGAATATATGCTAATCAGAGATGAACACAGGTAGCAATCCATATCAACTCCTCTGGTTACATCTAATGGAATCATCCTCCCAAGATTTAAAGATCCTATTTTTTTGCAAGATGTTAGTGCGCCAACCAGGTTGTTTGTGTCCATAATTCTGGAATGCTCTACCATCTAACTAAAAACCATTAAGGATTCTTCATGGAGGTGATTATACAATTACTCAGATGTCATGCTAATCCATGAAACTACATTGCGGGAAGAGTCTGGTGCCAGATCAAAGACCATCCTTTCCATGTCGAGCAAGCTGCTAGCAGAGTACATGTGGATAAGAGAATTTAGCATGAAGGTATATGATTCTAGGCCTAGTTTAATGAGAAGAAAATGCATCTCAACCCCTGTGTTGGGCTACGATAAGCTAGAGGTAGCCTTGAGAGCAGAGGTGAAGATGTAGCCATCGAGGGCGAGACCTTGAGAGTGGATGAGTTCAAATAAAGTGAAGGTGATGTGTTGCATTATTCCAATCGTGCTCATCTCAGCCTGAAACTACTCCCCAAACCAATTGAAAGCAATGGTGATATGCATACCTGAGTCTGGCCAGTAATCATCACTAAACCCCATAATGAGGTTATGTTTATACATGGCGGAGAGTGTTGGGGAGAGGGTTGGCAGAATCAGAATCGGAAAGAAGTAGAGTAGGAATCTCTTTTTCTTCTTCTTGTTGTGTGGCAAAGCCGTTCCAATAGGGGATGACATTCCCCGTGCATGAGTATGAGGGTGGAATCGAGTGAAGGGAACGCAAGCGTAGATTGCGTGTGAGCGCGAAGTCAGGCATGGGATCCCGATGAAGAAGTGGGAGTGGCAATTCGTGTGGGAGAGGAGGTTGTGCGAGTGTCAGAAGCTGGTTAGGATCGCATGAGGGCCGTATAAGCGCGGGGACGGGCTGCATGAGGGCGAGGCGCGAGAGCCACACATAAGCTGCAAGAGTGCGCGGGCGTCGCGTGGGTTTGAAAGGCGAGAGCTAGGTCAGATCGCAGGAGGCGTGTGACGCCCCAAGATCTAACTTGGAAGAATTATTCAGTCAATCCTTTAAGTCAATCTTCTACCAGAGCTCTCTATAGCCATCAATAGTGACAACAGTCTAACAAAAATCTATAAATTAACAATATCAAGTAAATTTTTCTATTCATTCCCAAAAGTTCATTTACAAATACTCAGGATCTACACATTAATCACATGTAATCCATCATGTCCTGAGTACAAAAAGAATCACTATAACAAAAGGACAAAAATCTGAAGATTCCTGATTAACCTCAATCTCCTACCCCTTGCCGTGACTTTGAAAATATTAAACCACATATAATGAGCTTCAAAAAGCCCAGCAGGTCACAAATACTACACTGAATCAAGAGCTCGTACGAAAGCAATATGCATGTCAATCAGTCAAAGATCAATATCAATCACTTACACATGATTTGAGTCAAATGCAGGAAATAAGAATCATTACAGAAACAATAATCAATACAGAATGATAGTCAATACAGAAACATGTGAATCATAATCATCAGTAGAAGAATCAATAACAGTATAAAAGTTCGTAAAGCTCAATGAATCAGTACGTGCGTCAAATCTCTACAGTAGTACGTGTATCATAACCACCGTCAATTCAGTAGACAAATCTTCATATCTAAATCTCAGTCAAATCGTTAAACGAAATATTCGTACGGTAATAGTCAATCAAATCAGTCAATAATAATTAATCGTATACAAGAGAATCATTGGTTCAGATAAATATCAGTCGGATATAAAATATCACTAATACATTGTTCTAAATTGCGCAATATGAGGCCGCCGCTTTGCGTAATTCAATAAAATAACGGCCTCCATGCTTTCCCTCGGAGTTTTTATGAGGCTTTCGCCTCAAACTTGGTGAGGCCCGCCTCGCCTCACTGGATAAGGCTTAACGCCTCAGCTATTTATTAACAACTTACATAAATATTGAAGTAAATGCTGACAATTGACTCTATACGGAAGGAGGAATGGAGCAGAGCAGTTCATCCATATTGATGATCAAATGAAGAACCCTTAGGATGAAGTGTTTGAATGGCTTATGAGTTTCTTATGTAATATGTATTGCATATGTTTTTTTGGAAATTGGAATAATAGTGTTATAGAAAAAATACTGAGATTTGAGAATATAGAATTTTGAGTTGAACTATATTTCATGTTGTCTTATTATTGGGATATTTTGATTCACGTCTATCTTATGCTTTTTTATGTTTTATATTATTTCACTCATGTAGTACTATAAATTTTTTTCAATTTGTATGTTTATTGCAATCTTTTGATTTTGAGGCTTACGCTCAAAACACCTTGAGGTCTTACGCCTGCCTCACGAATGAAAAACGCCTCAAATACCCGAATACGTAATTTAAACATTGATCAATATATTGTCGTAACTGTTGAAATCTATCAATGAAATAAATCAAACATCGCGTTGACAGTTAATCAGTCAATGTCGTAGTAATCATAATCAAGATGTAGACTCGCAGATTCAGATTTTGTCTGTAACTCACAATCACTCACGTGCTCAGTGAATCAAACTGCAAATCCAATAAATCTATTATCACGCTGTTCAGTTAGAATCACATTGTCACTTACAACTATTATACTCACGTGCATAATGTCAGTATAGTGAGAATCAGCTACGTATCCAGTATCAGTAACATCCAGTGACATGAACAAGATATGTAATAACAGTAAAATCATCGCATAACAGTAAAATCCGTACAATAACGATAAGAAAATGATTAAACACTGTATTTCAGTAATCAATAATCATACTCACAACATACTCACAAGTAAAATTCCTGGCTATTACGGTGTTTTTCAGTCTTGTATCAGTAGTTCTTATATCTTGTATCCGTTGGCTCAGTAAAAAGAGTCGTCACTCTTTGCCCGTCGGCCACAGTAATCAATCTCCTTATAACTCCATCAGTAATCACGTGATCAGTAGAGATG